TGATTAAAAAACAAAATCTGACAACTTGCTTGGCTTGCACATTGTTGTTACCTTACGTGATTTCTTTGATTGCTAATAATTTTTTTCCCATTTCCTATAATTTTGTAATTGGATGGTCATGCTCCTTGCCTCTACCTATTCGATTTCCAGGGTTTGAAAATTCAACTTGTGTAAGCTCTTTATATTTCAAAGAATTTAAACCTTCGTTCATCATATATATGATAAACATTTTACAGTTAGAGAAGTTTAAAATACTTCACATAGTTAAATTTGCTCTCTACCTACATATGTAATATACATTTAGATGATTTCTGTTATTCTGTTATTTCTGTTATCTATTGCTTTCAAGGCTTACCCAAGAAATACCCAAATCTTCCAGAAATTAGTTAAGTACTTAATGCTACTTTCTTTAATTTATGTAAAACAGCTGCTACTACAACTGCTTTGGTTGTTGGTCAGAAGGTCAGAGTTGGTGGCCCCAGCCCTCTCCCCATGTATGGCCCACTTCAGCGGGGCGTGGTCATTTGCCTGGTGAGAGTGAGCCAGATCTTCACATGTATAGGATCTGGGTCCTTATATGTATTGGGTTGCCGCAGTTACTCATCGACCAGGACCTCTGGTGAGAAAGCACTCACAGAAGCCCCAGTGACCTCCTTGGGCTACACGCATCACCCTCCTCATCCCCACTGTGTAGCAGTTACACAGTTTCCCTCGGTTCCTAGGACCAGTTCCTCTAATGGATATGCCTCCTCTGACTGTTGGTTCACTGGCATGAGGTCAGTCTCCATTTCCAGTGGGGTTTCCACATGGAAGGCAGCCTCTCTCAGACCAACAGCGCTCCAACCCGTAAGACCACGGCCATGGGACGGGAAGCAAAACTTCCTCCAGCAGTGACTTCCTTTAACATGAGGAACGCCACTCCTTCGTCCGTTGTGTGCTTTCTGGACATGTGCACTTTGGTTTAGGCATGTGCTGAATGGGAATCCACCCACTGGCGGCGGAGCAGACAATCCCATCATTCGGTCAAGCTATCTGCTCTTGGGTGATGGGCCTGTGGGAAGGCCAGTGAATTGCGGGGACGCTGTTAGATTTCCTGGCCCTGAAATGTGTTGTGATGCATCCCCTGCACGGGATTATGCATTCTGTAAATTCCCAGTGCTGGTCTGCCAGCAGCTGCGGCTCAGAGGGAGGGCATGTACAGACCCAGGCGCTCCATCCGGCCCCTCTGTGATGGAAACGCTCTCATGGAACCAACCTGCCACCAGGCTGCCAGCCACTGCTCCTGGGCACCGTGCCACATCCAGGATCATGCACCAGCCCCTGCTGCTGGCAGGATGGGAACTCAGAAGTGGAGTCAATTCCTATGAGGAGAAACTCGCGGTATTGAGCCTATGCCACTGGGACGTCCCCACTTCCTACATGGCCCCGTGACATCTTCACATTCACAAGTTTGAAATGAGTCCCGGCTGACCCTTTGACTATAGCCTGTGAGTCAGAGAATCCAGCTAAGCTGTCAACCAGTACCCGACACACAGTAACTGTGAGATAGTGTTTCTTGTTTTAAATTGCTAAGTTTTGGGGTCGTTTGTCACATGGTGACAGAGAACTAATATGGAACCTGCTGTTTTTCATCTTGGACTTCCCCAAGATGCCACACAACGCCGATGTCTGCCGTGGATACGTCACAAACCGTCCACACTTCTGGGCCCACATGGCAGGTGTCTTGTGTGACAGCCTGGACCAATTTCTGCAGAGCCATTTATTATTCTGACTCCACTCAAAATTTCAAACCTTATTGGCAGCTGGTAAATGAGCCAGAACGGCCTGTTCAAATGTAGTCTATATCACCTCCCAGATCCAAAGAGGCCTGTGAGGAGGTACTGGGTGAGTGGTACAGATGCCGACATTTGTCTCTCCCTTCACAGAGGACATATCCACTAAAGGGCCAGGTTCCTGGACTTTCGCAGCTCCAATCTCTGACACACGTGTGCTTCTCTAAGGCATCTTACTTCTGGTTTTCAAAATCCAGTTAACTCAACATCATGTCTGCAATGTAACAGGCCAGAAGAAGGTTTAGCAAAATGTTCAAGGTCTCTCCTGAGTATGCAGACGTGACACAACCCCAACTCCACATCGTAGCGATATATTGCTGCCCCTGTCATGCGGAGTCAAAAGACGTCTGATCATCTTTTCTGAAAGGAATGGGGTGGGGCAGGGGGGCGGGAAGCAAACATTTTCTAGGTCCATGGCTGCATATCAGGTGCCAGGGAGTTTGCTCCAGGAACAACATCACATCCAGCTCCCCGGCTGCAGGTGTCATCACCACTTGATGACATTTGTGACACTTTATACACAGGGCTTGACAGATGACAGCCTGTGGGCCAGATCCTGCCTGTGGCCTGCTTTTGTACAACCTGAAAACTAAGAAGGATTTGTACATTTTTCAAAGGTTGCAAAAATAAAACAAGGATGACGTGGCAGAGCCCAAGTGCGGCCCACCAAGCCTGAAATAACGACACCTGGACATTTACCGTGAACCTGTGCTGACCCTGCTCTCAAGTCATTCTCCACAACGCACCTGGCCACACAGGTGAGGCCGACGGGCCTGTGCAATGCCCACGGCTGCAAGCTCAAGTCCTTGATGGTGGCATTGACTTCGGCAGGTCCCTCCTGGACTGAGATGCTGGTTTTGGTTCACTGTCTTGGTGAGAGACTTCCACGGTAACATCCCTCACTCCAAGGATCAGAGAGGCAATGCAGCTACTAAGTGTATCTATCCTGGGCCTGGGGGGATCCCCAAGGGATGGGTGTGACCTCACTGGATCCAGGAGACGGACTTGAGCCAAGATACCATCTCACACCTGAAATCCAGTTTCTCTGTTTGATGAACCACGTGGGGCTTGGGCCTTTGAATATTAGTGTCGGTTCAGAGCTCGTATGTAATGGCCTTCAGAGTTACTATTTATTGACTTTCAGAAAGTCCAAGTATTTTTCTTTGTCCAGTGCACAGTCACCCTGGTTGTACTAGTTTCCTAGGTCGGCTGTAAACAAAGTACCATCAACTGAATATACAACAGAAACTTGTTGTCTCACAGTTCTAGGAGGCAGAAGTTAAAGATCAAGGTGCCACCAGGATCAGTTTCTTCTGTCCCAGATGAGATTCGCTTTCCTTGGAGCCTAATCTATCACTGAAGAAAAAAAATTCCTACTATCATTAATCCATTCATCCACCCCTCCATCCATCCATTCCTCAATGGATATCTATAATAATAAAAGCATAATATGCTAATTAGACCAGACATCCTTCTGGATGTCCTTCCGGACTAAGCTGGGGCTGGGAGGGAAGCCCGGTCCTGGGTGCCAGAGGGAAGCCGCTGCCGGCAGCCGGGGGAAGGAAGGCCTACTCTTGCATGAATTTCGTGCATTGGGCCTCTAGTTTATTTAATAAGGCACCATTATAGGTGCTGAGGCCACCTGAATGCACAGAGTAGACCAAGCCCCTGCATCAGGGCCCTTCCATTCTACTGGGGAGGGGCAGTAAACAACAAACATGGCATGTAAGGGAATCTCTTCAGACATTCAAAGATAAAAATAAATGTAAAAAGAAAGAGCCGTGACAGAGGAAGAGCCAGAGCAAGGCAGGGCCGCAGGGCAGCTGGGTGGAGGTGGCCCTGAGGAATCCCCTGGGAGGATGTGAGCAACTGACCCCACAGACACGGGGAAAGGGATCCGCCAGAGGGAAGAACACCTCTACTTCATCAGTTTCCATGTCTGCTCTTGTACATGCAACTTCATTTTTAAAGGAAAAGAATGTTACGGCCAAAGGTGATCCTGAGTGGGGGGGGGGGGGGGGTGAAAGGATTGAGAAAAGACAGACAAGAGAATGAAAGCTGGGTCTCGGTGGGACGCTGCTCCCTGATGAGGAGACAGCCCCAGCGCCCACAAGCCGTGTCTTTATTTTATAGCAGATGCCACGAGGCAAAGTAGGGGCATGATCAAGTTGTTTACAGCATTCTCGTGAGTTCCAACCCTACTCAACTACATGCACCTGAACTCTAGCACAAGGCACGTGGGGCCATGTGTTTGGACCATAGGTTCAAGCTTACAACCACAGCCATTGGCTATAATTGTGCTGGGAGGGCCCTGACCTCCAGCTGGGACTTGCACATGGCAATGAGAGGACCCTGTCCTTTCATTAGTCCGAGGCTTGAACCTGGCCAAAACACCGTAACCGCGCCCCACAAAAGAAAAGTAAAGAATTAATTTAGATAAATAAGTAACAATGCTCACTAGTTCCTGTGAGGAGGGTGGCAGTGCCGACTGGACCCTGAGCCGCTCCGCACAGGCCCTGTGTCCTCGGGGAAGGACCTGACGGTGCTCGGCTCACATACGAAGTTGCCATGGAAATGTCTAACCAGACAGCACTAACAGAGGGAAGATGAAGTTTGAAGTTCAAGTCCCCTGGGGAGGGGCGGGGGGGCAGGCCTGTCATTCTCCTGCTCATCCTGCCCAGGTCAGCTCCCCCCTGCCCCGGACTTGGATTCTCAAAATGGTTGAAAATGGTTGAAAGGCCAAGGCCAGGCGGGCGGGCTCCTCTGCTCCTTCTCCTCCCTGAGTTGTGTGGCAGGGACCCCGTGAGCCACTGTTCACACAACTGCGCCTTTCGTGGGCCATCTCTCGCTATGAATCACTTTCCAGTGAGTGTACTGTTGACATTAGCCGATACGGACCAGTGGACTGAGGAGACTCCCATGGATAAGAGCGGGATGATCTGAATCTCAAATCCCTCACCAAGATGACTAGGAGACACGGGTTCCCTCTATCAGCAAACGCGTCCGTGTGGCTTGCCCGTGTTTAGAAAACACCTTTTAATCAGTGGAGGACTGTGAGACCCTCCTTAGGCAAATGTTATCTAACACTCTTTCAGCAAACAGAGCCCGGGTTTAAAATCGAGGGCTCAGACAGATTCTCACCCCTGACTTGTACTCTCCTGGGAGCAGAGAGAAGAAAGGCATGGCCACCATGGAGCCCAAGGTGATCTGCGTCCTGCTCCTGGTCTTCTCGCTGGCCCTCAGCAGCCTGGCCCAGGTCCAGACCGGTAAGTAGCCCTCTTCCTGCTTCTTGGGGGGGGGGGACACATGGGCATAGAGAGGCAGCCCTGATGGGGGTCTTTGTTTCACAGTGTGTGGTTTTGAGCCAAGCATTGTTTTAGGCCCTTGAGAGGGTTTGGAAGGCAAAAGCAAGTGGTGGTAGCAGCGGGAGAAAGGGCCGATGAGACCTTGGAGAACTGCTGTGAGCAAGTGGGATTCCTTGGTCGGCGCTGTCTTCCAGTCCTGACACTATGAGGCTATTCTTGAATGTCGTATTTTAAAGAGCAAGCTTTGAGGTAGGGTGTATGAATAGCACTTCTAAATGTCCCAGCCAAACCCTACCCCAGGCAGTGGGACCACCTAAAGCAGCGGTTCTCAACCTGTGGGTCACGACCCCTTTGGGGGTCAAACGACCCTTTCACAGGGGTCGCCTAAGACCATTGGAAAACACATATATAATTACATATTGTTTTTGTGATTAATCACTATCCTTTAATTATGTTCAATTTGTAACAATGAAGTTGGGGGTCACCACAACATGAGGAACTGTATTAAAGGGTCGCGGCATGAGGAAGGTTGAGAACCACTGACCTAAAGTCTACACAGATGTCCCAGTGCCTACTCCACGGTGGGCATCCCGAGAACCTCTCTGGGCCCCGTGCTCTGCAGAGTCCAAACCACCTGCCCCATTGGTTCGTGTTGCATCAATATTAGTCCATGGGAGTTGCCCAATGAGAGAGGGCACTGCTGCTTCCTTGGAACTTGTTTGTGTCTCAAGGCCTTTATCTTCGGAGTGTGATCAATTGTCTGTGATGTCTGCGAAAAGTGCTTTGCAAGCTACAAAGTGCTGAATCAACATTACTTGTTTATGTTAGCGTGCTTTGCTGGATTTCACAAAGGAATGCATGTGGGCGTCCTGCCCTCTCTGTCTAGGGCAGCCGTGGGCAAACTACGGCCCACGGGCCGGATCCGGCCCGTTTGAAATGAATAAAACTAAAAAAAAAAAAAGACCGTACCCTTTTATGTAATGATGTTTACTTTGAATTTATATTAGTTCACACAAACACTCCATCCATGCTTTTGTTCCGGCCCTCTGGTCCAGTTTAAGAACCCATTGTGGCCCTCGAGTCAAAAAGTTTGCCCACCCCTGGTCTAGGGGGAGTGTCCCACATCCAACTGTCTTTGGAGGAATTGTCTTTCACGGAGTCAGATGCCCCAGGTCAAGGCCAACTGTGCCCACCTCTGCCCTGAATCTCGGTCCACCTGTCCTCTGACCAGCCTCCTTCTATTCAGCCTCCTTCCTTCTCTGTCCCTTTACTGTCGATGTTCCCAAGGCCTCACTCCTCATCCCCCTTGTCTTCTCACTCATGGTGCACGGCCATGTGCACCTCTGAGCCCTTACCCTCCTCTGCCCCCTCTCCCAGGCTCCCCTCCCATCGCCTGCCTCAGCCTGCCGCGTTCGCCTTCTCAGAGCCTCTGGCCCTGAGTGCAGATCCCACAGATCTTGCATCCAGACCATGAGGGAGCTGTCAGCTGGCCCGTCTGCCCTGGGTGCTTTCCACTTTGGGTCATTTCATCCCTCCCCTGGTGAAAGCTGTGGCTCTCAGGCTGAAACTGTGTCCCCTAGCCCTCGGCCTTGCTCCTCTCAGACCACTCACCTCAACCTCTGCATCGTCTCTGCAAACGGACTTACACCTCCTCGAACACACCTTGCTCTCCCCCTTCACCGCCATCGACCATGCTGCTCCCTCTGCTTGGAACACCCACTGCTCCATCCTCAAGAGGTCAACCCCCTCCTACGGGAAGCCCTCCTTGCTTTGTTCAGCCTTGTGGTCACTTGTCCTTTCTGTGCTTGACCTGGACACACTAGGATGGTCGCACTGTGCTGCTTTGCACATATACTTGGCTTTCTCCTCCATTTGAGTTTGGTCTCTTAACAAGCATGCCTTTATTTTTAATTTCTGGGTCACCACCACCTGGCACAGAGCCTGACAGGAGCTCGGTTTCTGAGGGACCCGCGCTGCCTGTGTTTGCTGTGTCATCTCCTGTTCCTAGCACACACAAACGGTGCCCAATAGAGGTATTGATTGAGTAAATATGCTTACTACTTGTTTGTTGAAATTAATGAGCGAATGAATACGCTGTCCAGGTAGGTGCAGGGTTACAGACTCCGGGCACCTTGCAGTTTCCCTGAGGTGACGTGTTTTCATGTCAGGAAATGAGGACAGGGTCTCCCTCCCGGACCCCGAGGCCTGGGTCTGCATCGGCCACATGAAGCGGGACGGGGGTGTGGGTAGAAATAGCGAGGAGTTCGGCTCCGGGCTTACCTTTGCCCCCTGCCCGTGTGCCTTTAGAGACGTGCGTGATTGCCCCGAGCCAGAGGAGCAACTGCGGGTTCAACGGCATCACGCCCGCCCAGTGCGCAGAGAAGGGCTGCTGCTTTGACAGCACCGTCCCCGGGCACCCGTGGTGCTTCTACCCTCTGAACATCGTCAACAACGTTCCGGAAGGTACGTCCATGACAACGCGGTGGGGCTGACGGCGTGGGATGCGTGAGAAAACCGCACGGGCCCTCGGGACTCTGCATTGCCAGCTGTGTTTTCACCCGGAGCGTGGCCACGGGGGCCCGGGAGGAGCGGTTTAGCCTAAATCACCATGAATCCGGGTCTGGGACGGAGAGGCGGGGCTGAAAGACCCTGTGGGGAGGAACCTGCCTTATTCCCGGCTTGGCTCCACAGCCTCAACCGAATGCTGCCAAGAATCACCTTTGTGATGCGTAGCTGGCTTGGGGTGGGAGGGGAAGGAACGACAAAATACGAAGACGGTCCATGTTTTCTGAAGAGTCTTCCCGTTGATACTTTCAAGTCAAAAACCCCCTGGAATCATTGCCAAGTGAGAACATCCTCCTCCTCACTAACATCTCTTCTCCCGCACCTTCCCTTCCAGAGGAGTGTGAGTTTTAGCCGCTCTCCGTGGGAGTCGCGTCTACACTTAGAATGGGCCGCCCCCCGCCCCCGGCCGCGCTCAGCCTGCCACCACCCCCTCATCTCCAGCTTCTGCGTCTCAGCCTCGGCTCACCGCATGGATGGACTGCCTAGATTTTTCTCACTCAAAATCGACCTGAAAATTAATAGAGATGAATGCTACTCTGTGCTTTTAGTTCTCTTTAAAAATAAAAACTGATTTTTCTTTCTTTCAAGAAAAGTGCTCATTGTCCCCTCTGGCTTCTTGTCATGGGTGATACACTGATTCACGGTCCCGGTGAGAGATGAGGGGTGGGGGAGAGGATGACCTGGCCACAGGGTTGCAGAAGTCGCCTCGGTGGCTATTAGCAACTGGGGTCCCTGCACAAGGCCCTTCATGGCAAAGTCTTCCAGAAGCACCTCCCAGCCACACCCTTGTCAAGTCATGAAAATAGGCACCAAACTCTATCAACGTTCTTGCAAATCCATGGTGGATGACCCACTGCCATGTAGCAAAAGCTACCTGTCAATGTCTTCACCTCCCCCCGGTGGAAACTGGCTCAGGAGAGAAAACCCACAGCAGAGTCTGACAGTGTTAAAAATAAAAAATTGCAGAGCTGACATCTTAAAAAAACTTTTTTTTATTGATTTCAGAGAGGAAGGGAGAGGGAGAGAGAGAGAGAGAGATAGAAACATCAACCATGAGAGAGAGAGAATCATTGATTGGCTGCCTCCTGCATGCCCCCTACTGGGGATCAAGCCTGCAACCTGGGCATGTGCCCTTGACTGGAATGGAACCTAGGACCCTTCAGTCCGCAGGCCGACGCTCTATCCACTGAGCCAAACTGGCTGTCATCTTGAAGAACAACTCTGTGGGGCTGACAGTGTGGAATTGGTGAGGAAAGCCACCCTCCGAAAGGGAGGCATGCGAAGGCCACATGCCACCTTATCACTGACAGACAAATGGGAGGACAGGGAGCCAACTGGACCTGCCCAGACACCCTGGCCTTGGACAGACGGCCCCCCGGGCCAGCGGTGTGACAGAGCGGCCCTGGGTGCCACGGCCCCAGCTGCAGGGAGAGTGAGGAGAAGACACCAGCTCCGGGCGGTCCTCCTGCCCCAGGAGCTCAGTCCATCGCTCCCCCGGTTGGCTCCTCCTCTCAGGTGCCCTCGCACTGGACACAACCTGCACAGCTGTTGGGGGTCCCAGGAGCAGGGAGCACTTCTGCTCCCCACGGCCAGCTGGTTCCCAAGGGGAAGAAGGGCCGGAGCTGGGCGTGGACAGTGTTTTCCACTGTCCGGTCAGACCGACCACTCCCCTGACCCATGGCCACCAGGACAAGTGCGTCCAGAGCCCAGGAGCCAGGAGTGCGTGCACGGGCAGGGGCGTCAGGGTGGGAACCCCAGCACACGCAGCCAGCCACACACATGTGTGCCGCCGTGTGTGTCGTGTTCTGTGTGCTGTGGGGATCACGGGGCTTTTCCGCACTGGAGAATGTGCAGAGAAATGTCCCTTCTCTCTTGTGTCCATAGCTGATCTGATCGCTCACAACCTCTGCCCAACAGTTCAGGTAAAGGGAAACCAATGGTTGCCTTTGATCCCTCGTGAGATGCAGTATCTCCTGTCACAGCCTCTGGAGGCAATAGTTCCTGGGAGTAACCTGCTCAGTCTCTCTCAGCCCCCGCTTCCTGACCCCCGCTCCCTTCCTGACCCTCACAGCAGGCCTTTCATGTGGTCCTGCCCCTTTTCCACCCAGAGGGCTGTGCGGGTGGAATGACACTTCCCAGGGAGCCATGACACGTAGACTCGAAGACCTCCTGTGGCCAGGGACATCCAGCAGCGGGTACCTTCCACCCCGCGAATGCGTCAGCATGCGGGCCCAGAGGCCAGTGACAAGGAGACCGATTCGGTGGGTCCCCACCTTCCTTCATTTCCCTGGCTTCTGGCCCAGTGAAGGGACGGAATGGATACAGGGCTGGCGGCATCAGCGTCCCCCTCCCCCCATCAGGTTACAGAAAGCATCCGAGGCCCGATCCATGCCCAGCTCCTCCGGTGTCCGCCCCTAGAGTGTGGATCCTGTGGCCCCGCCATCTGGGCACCAGGCCTCTCTTGGAGATGACTGGGGGCTCCTGAGGGGGTGTCCCCGCTCAGCACGACAACATGTGTCTGTCCCGTCATGGCCCAGCACCCTGCACAGGACTCAGAGCGGGTGCAGAAGAAGATGTGGTTGCTCTGTGCCACACTGTCCTGGTAACTCACAAAAACCCAGAAGAATTCCGACAGTGGGGGCAGGGACCTGGAGGTAGAGCTCCGAGGACGGACGGAGAGCTGACAGAGCGCGAGGCTGTGGGCCATGCCCCCCGCACGGGATCCGGAACCAAGATGCTGAGAAGGGTGTCAGGAGCAGGCCCTGTGCCATCCCTCCTCGGCCCGCCCACACATGTCCGGTGGACCTATGGCACTCACTCACCTCTTGGGGGCCGGGGGAGTTGCTGAAGGCTGGGTGTGGTGACAGGTGGGATAGGTGGCCCTGAGGGGACAGAGGCCCTGGGTGACAAGCCACTTCCTTTTTGTGGCCAGAGCCAGGTGGGGTGAGATAAGAGAGGAGGAGGTTGGGGAGAGAATCCAGAAAGGCCCCCGAAGAATGAGACGTTTCCTCCTCACGCCCAGGAATCTAGGCCTCAGAACCTGCCCAGGGCCACCCCCACCCACGGCAGCCCCCACCCCCGGTGCATCCACCCCTTCAATGCCCCAGCGATCATCTCAGGGTGGGGGGACCTGGATGGGGTGCTTGGTATCACACCACATCCCTACCTGAATCTCTCTAAGCCATGAGCACACGGGCAAAGGAGGTGGGGGCGGGGGGCAGATTGGTGTCTTAAGGCAGCAATGGTACCTCTCTGGGGCACTGCAGTCCTTGAAGCACACGGAGGGTGGAGGGGAAAGGCCAGCTGGGGTGATAACGAGCCTTAGTAAGAACAGCGCTGCTGATAAGGCACAGGAGCAGTTAACAGTTTGGGGAGCATATCACGCACACACACGTGTGCACACGTACATGCACAGACACACACATGCACACATACATGTACACACAGGCACACACAGTCCCTAAAGAACCCAAGCTCCTCTTCTCCCCCAGCTTTGGAAACTAGGCTGAGGACACCTGTGCAGAAGGTCATCTGGGGGCCAGTGCTCTCTTGCACCTAAAACCACTGGACTTCAGCCAGAGGAGGGAAAACCCCCTAATCACTCCCACATCTGAATACATGGCTTAGTGGTGTCAGGTACAGATAGCGGGACCTCTCTCTGAGGTGCAGGTGACAGTAACCTGCAGGGTGTGCTACCTGATCTAAAGGATGGAATAAGCAGAAGGGTTACTATGGATGGGAGAGGACGGAGAGGCCACGCATCAGAAGTAGCAGTGCATGTCCGGGCTGACAGCTCTGCATGTCATCCTCAAGCCAGGCACTCGTCTGTGACTCTCATCATGGCCCCTTTGGGCCCCAGGTGTCAGCCCAGAAGCAGACTAACAGCGGGGCTGCTCTGTGGGTCACCGTGGGCTCCAGCGGGGCCCGCAGTGTCAGCTCTGAGACGCCTCACTAAAGCCTCAGCCTGTGGTGACCCCACGCACCGTCCGTGTCCTGGCCCCTTGCGCAAACCCCAGTTTTGGGCCTGGTTACCATGCATTGCTGGAAAGGCGAAGAGTGGGACAGGACAGAATACCTCATGACCCAGGATCCAGGGGAGCGGTCATTCCACTGCATCCGCGGGAAGTGCTAACTTGCCCGGGCTCTCGCTTTGGGTTATTGATTGATTTCACACACGCCGTGGCTTGAGCGTCTTAGTTTGATCCGTGAGCTTGTTTGTTCTGTGGCTGGTAGTGCACTGGAGGTTACCAATGCTCCTTGATAAATTCCCACACAATAGGGTTCTGTTCAGACGATGTTGAACTAAAGACCAGGCCAGGAACCAATTCTCCAAGCCAAGTTGTGGCTTAAGATAATATCTGCAGAGTCACTGAGAAGGATATTGTTAACTTAAGAAAACTCCCTCGCCTTTCTTTGTGCGGGTGAAATAGGAGGGAGTGGGAGGGGCAGGTTGTGAAAATATTCAATAAATGTGAGCACGGTAGAAAACACCAGTGGCTATTAGGGAACAATTAGACATTTGATCCAAATGTCAATGGCTATTAGAAAAAAGTCATCCACTTAAAGGTCCGAGCAGACAGAAGATTATAGTTAGTAACAGAAAGATGTATAGTATTGCAGTACTTTAAAGGTGTTTCTATTTTTTTAAAATTGAATTTATTGGGGCGACATTGATTCATAAAATTATATAGGTTCCAGGTGTACAATTCTATAATACATCATCTGTATGTAGGATTGTGTGTTCTTAATTGTTCTTCTCAGGTCTTAATATTGTCCTGAGTTGGACATTTTGGGGGTAGCGAACAGATTAAATTAGGCAGATCTGCATATATCTATGTACATATGAGGTGCAATAAAGTTGAGTGGGCCTAGTAAGTAGGGAACCTCTATGCTAAAGGCAAACACTGCAGGGATTTTGTTTATTTATTTAATCTGTTCTAGGTCATCAATGTCAAGAACTCGGAAGAGCTCAGAGTTTACCCTACTTGCAAGCTGATAGTTTTATGGATGCTGGCAGGAGACAGGAGAATCCTGATTCAGAGATAAAGGACTGTGTTACTCACCGTGCAGCAAGCAGCTTGAGGTCATTATGTTTGTGCCCCTAAGTCCTCCTGGGGTGGCACAGATGGGCTCAGACAAATGCTGGAACACACAGTGGGTTGCATTACAGGACAGGAACCCTGACTTCTTAAGGACTCAAATCTTTTTAGGGGCAGTAAGCTTGCCTGCCTCTGCTCCAGATGGAAGTGCCATATCTGCATTCCCAGATTGTTTGCTCCACAAACATCCTTGGAAAGATAGTCTGGCATGAAGGACTGTTTTGACAGCCTCCTACACATCTCCTTGGTGGTAGCCGGGTATTTCCATCCAGGGTTGTGGGGATGGCCAACATTGGACAGCTGAGATCACCTCCAGCTTGCATCACATATGCTCAC